GACGCGCCATCTCTCTCAGCTCCTGCACAAGCTCTTCAACATGAAGGCCTGTCCCACTGAGCCCTGTCTCTTCGTAGGGTCTTACAAGGGTCAAGCAATCTACATCTTGAGTTATGTTGACGATTTGCTTTTGGCTGGGCCAGACACAGCTGATCTTTACCAGATGGTGGAGGAACTACGCAAGGAGCTGAAGCTCAAGGTCACCGCGGACCTCGCCAAAGATGGTAAGATACATTTCCTAGGAAGGGAAGTTTTTCGGTCTGAGCAGGGTGGGGACCTTAAGTTTGGAATGGATCCAGGGTACATGAACGATATTCTGGAGGAGTACAAGCTTGAAAACGCCAAGGGTGTCCCAACACCGCCTTGCTTGAGGGATTTGCTTGACAAGGCTCTGGACGAGCCGGGGTTAAGGGTTCCTCTTTCTGCCGAAGCTGCCGCCCGCTACCGCCGTGCACTTGGCAAGCTAAGCTGGTTGAGCACCACTCGCGGGGACTTAGTCTACTATGTCTCTGTTTTGGCTCGGGGCCAGAGCTCGCCGCTGGAGGTGCATGAGCGCGCTATGCGCGCTGTCTTGCGGTACCTCAAGACTGTCGTCAACTACTTTCAGCTTTTTCCGCGCCAGAGTGTTGAGAAACTCCGTCTCCATGCCTATGTGGACGCCTCGTGGGGCAGCGAGCGCTCCGTCGATCGTCGGTCGATCTCGGGAGGGTGCCTCATGCTTGGAAAGGCCTGTATTAAGACGTGGGCGAGACTGCAGCAGTCCGTTGCTTTGTCTTCGGCCGAGAGTGAGCTCTATGCATTGGTTGAAGGGGCTAAGGAAGCCCTAGGGGCACGGTGTGCTGTTGAGCATATTCTGGGGTGTGACCCAGTTGTGCCTCTGCTTTACTGTGATAGTGAGGCCGCCGTTGCTATCAGCCAAGCTGAAGGTCTTCGCAAGCTACGCCACATTGATATCAGGTCTTGTTTTCTCCAACAAGAAGTTCAGTCCGGATCCCTCCGCGTGGTTTCTGTGCGTGGCACTGAGAATCCTGCGGACATCTTTACCAAGAACTTAGATTTAGCCTCCACGCTTAAGCACATGCATCATATGGGTCTGCGCGCCGCCTTGCTTCCAGAGGGGGTAAAGGGGTTGGCCATGACAATTTTGCGGAATTGTGTTGCGAAGGGAGGGATTTCTTCGTTGATGGAACGGTTTAGACCTCAAAAGGGACAGAAGTGGCTGTTTGTGGAGTTTTGCGCGCCGCTTGAGTCAGGGTTCTCCAGGGTCTGTGCTAGGGAGTTTCCGAAGATTCATCTTTTGACTGTGACCGCCGCCGATGATGGAACGAAGAGAGAAACTCGAGAAGATCTCGTTGCCATTGTGGAGAAAGCAAGGGGTCGCGGCATGAGGGTTTTCTTCTGGAGCTCGACTCCATGCACTGGAGGATGCCCGTATCAGCGGATGAACCTCAAGAGGTACGGAGACAGTTATCAGAAGCATCTTGACGGCCTTTGGGCTGTTCACCGGAAACTGTGGATCGCTGTCCGAGAGATGTGTGATCTTTCTGATCATTGGGCTATCGAGTGGCCAATGAAATGCGCTTATTGGACCTGGAAGCAGACCCAGCACTACTTTAAGCTACAGAAGTACCAGATCCATGATTCGGTTGTGGATGCGTGCTCCGTTGGCCTTCAGGGGTGCGATGGGCTCTTGGTTTCTAAGCGTTGGAGGGTTAGGGTTACACACGAGAGGGTCGCGACTCAGCTTTCTGCTTTGCGCTGTGACGGCTCCCACGAGCATTCTATGCGCTTTGTGCTTCGAGATACTCAACATTACCCCGAACTTCTGTGTAGAAGGGTTTTGGAGAGCTTAGAGTGACTAAGTTCCTCTTCGCAGCCATTTCCACTCAAAATTTTTCCTTTTAAGGGTTTGGTAGTCCCGCCGGAATGGACCACTACGGTCTCCAGGCTTTCAAGGATGCCATGGTTTTTCTTTCTTCTGTTGACTCGCAGAATGAAGCACTGCTTCTTGAGAGACTGCTTGTCTTGACTTTTGCCGCAGGGTTTGTGACAGGGTGCGTCTTCCTAGGGGTTGGTCGCTGTCTGTACGCCCGTTGTCTGGCAGAGCCAGAATGGCCAGTACTTTACTTGACTGCCAAAGGTGCTTTGCTATCACGTGAAACGTGATTGTCCAAGCATTCGGCATACGACTCCGCTGACACGCAGGATTTGTCTTTTCTGCGCTCGGGAACCTTCGAGGCTTCAAGAGTCTACAAAGAAGGGTGACTGACCCGAACGCCCAGAGGGGGTGTAAACGTATATCCTCTGTTTGGGAGGATATGGTGGGCGTCCGGCTCATCTGTAGAAACCTGAACAGTTCTCGGCTAGTTTCCTGGCACTTGGAGTGTTAGGGACTCTTTTCGCTTTAAAGCCGTAGGTCCTGTAGGTTTTCCCTGTTTTCGGACGTTCTGAGGAGTTTTGGTAGTACCAGGGTGCTTTTGGCCCATGGGAAGTTGTTTAGAGAGCTCCGAGCCACCTTTAGGTAGTTTGCACCTCGGTTTGCTGGAAGACTTTGTGCCGACTTGGCTCAAGACCGGAACTGCGTGTGGAGTGCAGCAAAACGAAGGTCTCTGTCCGAGTGTTGTGCTTGGTAAGGGGTTTTGCTGGGGCTTGTTGCAGTTTCGTTCTTTTTCGTTCATCTTTGGGATCTTTTGGAACCACGTGTGTACTACGGGCGGAGCAACAATCCCACCAGATTACTCCCCGGAATGGGAGATCGTGCTTCAACGATTATCGACCGCAGCCTGCAGCTAGGTGTGCTCTCCCCCAAGAAGAGGACATCATGTTTCATCTCTTACGCACTGGTGACTCTTCGGCCGGACCCGATGGTTGCCCATATGAGCGCTATCGCCAGCTGCCTACAGAGTTCGCACGCGCCCTTCACTCGTATTTCCTGGATATCATTCTTGGGGTCGCTCCGCCCCCTACACAGGCATTGACCTTCATCCCCAAGGCTGACGCAGGCCAATACGCGATAACTTCCGGCCGCTTGACATGCCGGACACGGCTGCTCGCATCATTGACTCTGCTGTCTTTGTGTCGGCCATGAGCGTCATTGCTCCTTGCCTCAATCAGTCGCAGGCTTGTTAGTCAGTTAAAAGAGGCCCCTGCCAACTTTATGATGGTCCCGGATTGCTTATTGTCCGAGTTGCAGCCTTGCAATGTCCTCCTTACTGATATGGCCAAAACCTTTGAAAGAGCCAAGAGCCCAGGGTGGCTTCTTGAGGTCTTAGAACGTCTCTGCGTTCCGCAGTGGGTTCGACAATGCACCCTTCACCTTCTTTATGGTCGTCAATCCCTGCACCGAATTCAAGACCTCCTACTGCCACCACTCCGTATGAGACATTAGCGCCTTTCTTTTTGCCTCGGCTGCTGCGAAGAACGTTTTGTACGCCATTGATGAGTCGACAGAGTACCTTGCCGCCAATTTGCATCGACTGCAATGGTATCAGCGTGATCAGCGATCTACCTCGCGCAACTTGGTTTACTTCGTGCTCGGACCGTCTGGTCCGAGTTCTACTCAGCGCCTTACTGCCTGACGTTGCACATGGAGTCGCATGGCTTCATCAGATCCTGCTCCGGTCTACAACAGGCTGTCGCAGCCGAACTCGGTCCTCTCCTTGGCAAGGCGACTGGCACCGTAGCACGGCATTTGCCCAATCCGCAGGAGCTTGTACGTGTTGCTGATCTCGCCAAACCTCACCAGGAGCTCGTTGCATATCTCGCCCTCGACAGCCGCCCAACCCGTCCAATTGCCTTTACACCGCGGCGGCACAGTAAGTAGCCTACGAGTCCGCCTCCTTCCTGCTCCCGAGCACGTACAGCCGTAGTCGACGAGGCCCAGTCAAGCCAAAAAAAAAAAAAGGGCTCGGTTTTAGGAAAGGGTTTGGTTTCAGGGTTTTAAAAAATGATTTAAAGGGTTCAAGGCTTTAGGTTTAATCTTGAGAACGGACCTTTGATCGAATTTGTTCATGGCTGTCGGAAGACTCCTTGACCAAGAAGATTTTCCGAACAACTGTACGCATTATTTTTCAAAATCAATTATTAGTGCGGTATGGAGAATGCTCGAATTGCGGAAATATTAGGACAGTTTTGATTACGTTGTAAACCTTCACGTTTTTCCGGCGTAGCATTTGCACAAGCTGTTTGGTTGGAGTTTTTGCAGCCATGCCGCAACATGTCTAGAAGATGAACGAAGTGAAGCAGCTTTCATGTACAACCATTGAAGTTGTCGGTGTTTCTAGCCACTCCAAAGTGTGATTGTTTCATAAATTTATTCCGGCATTTAAGGTTTTGCGATGGCCTCGCAAGTGCAGCTGTGTTGATGCGAATGCCGGAGATGCAATTTTTTTAATGGATTTTCGAGCTTCGAAGTTGTGCATTATTTTCCCTTTGGCAACGGCCGGCCCACCTTCGCATTCCGACGAACCTACCTGTTTCGACGTACCAGCGTGCGTGTGGGTCAATTTCGAGCCGTGTGCAGCATACGTTAGGTCCTGCCAACACTTTCGGCGGTTGTTGCAAACGGCAGCAACCGGCCACCCAATAATTTTTGCATTGGCATCAACATCAACAGCTTCCGGCCGTGCAAAGCCACGTGGCATCAAATCCAGTTGACATGAGTCATTCCACATTCATTTTGGTCAAGGCACTTGCGGGCTCAACAACAACTTAAAACCGTCAAGGCAACACGCTTCCAGATCCGCCTCTGCACACGGCTTGATTTGGTTTCAGTTGGTCGCAATGTGGTTCAAAATTAGTCTTGACTTGTGACTGCCATGTGGTCAGTGCCTCCAAAGGCGTTGCCAAGAATTCCGTCACATTTTCGAGCCTTTTCTGCATTCATGCCATTAGTTGTCAATATCTACCCAGACCAAGTAGCATGTTGCTTTGACATGAGTTGCTAGTGTTTGACAGTGATGGATCCGCAAGTTTTCATGACTCCGACTGTTGCATGCCAGGCTTTTCTTCAAAGGTCAACCCGAGATTGCTGCAGCAATCTTTGGTCAGATCAAGCGGGTCTGAGGCTGGAATGTGACATTGGCATTCGACATGAGTTCGTCCCTAGCTTCTTTTGATCATTTTGGCGTAGAGAACTGCGCGCCGAATATGCAGGCACTGCGGTTATGGCGATGCCATGCTGAGAAGTTCGATGCTGTCAACATTATTACTGTTATACGCCGCGTGGTGTTGCGCCTTGGTGGAGAGTCTGACGATGTACATTAGCTTCACGTTGGTCAGCTGTTTTCGAGGCACTCGCCCGGCACAGCGTGGAACCACATCGCGGATTGGCGCTGCCTTCTGCTTGAGGCGCGAAGTCGCATATGCAGTACAATAAGAAGAGAAGCATCGTGCTTCGTGCCAAACAATCTGATCCAGATCAGATATGTCGAGCAGCACCGTGCGCGGTAGGCCAGCAAGCCGGACATGTTCAAACCAGCATGTGCATTTTGTGTTCGTTGCAGGCTCAGAAGACCGTGAAGACACTCTGCCCGAAGGACATTTCTGCCTTAGCATGGGTGCTAGGCAGGGCCGACATGGGAGTGGCTTGGCGAGATTGGTTTGTGTTCACTATGGGCAACAAATGTGATTCGACATGTCCACCGCTTCGAGATCAACACTGCCTGTGTTGCAGAAGGTGAAACATGGGTATTTGTTGATCACTTGTGCAAGGTCGTCCCGAAGGAGGAGCAGCAACTCGTCAAGGCTCTCGTGAATGCCAGCTCGGTGCAAATGCACGCGTTCACCACCAAAGATCTCGGTATAATCGCTTGGGCGGTCGCGAAGCTTGAAGCATGTGTGCGGCTCTCAGATTGTTGGCATTCTTTGCTATGCAAGTTGCGGTTGTGCAATGCTTCCGAGGATGCGTCAGATCCGTTCGCGTCTCTCTTGGCAACGGAGACAGCTGCTCGATGCGAGCAGTTGAGTGGAAAAGAAGCTGTGAACCTGGCCTGGGCATTGGCCAAGATGAAGGTGCTGCCTTGCAACAGCAAAATAACTTCTCGCGAGACTTTTCCTTCTGCTTCTCGGCCGTGTTTGTACTCCTGCTGGCGAGGTCAACGAGCCGTTGCTCATGGAAAGCTTGGCGCACCGAACGGCTGCAAAGCTCGCGTGTCTCAACAGGACCAAGTCCCTCATGCAGAGATTGTCGTCCAGCGGCGATTGCCAGCAAGCAGGTTGCCGAAGCAGACAAGGCCTGTTCGTTCCATGTCAAGACTTGGCTCGACAGGCAGGACGCCGCAAATGCGGCCTGGGCTTTTGCCAAGGCTGGGGGGTTTGGGTGCACAAGCCCGCCATGCATAGCATCATGCACTGAACCATGGATGCTGTAGGAGTCTCACGCCTTCCTTTCTGGAGCGATTCGTTTAGGCTCCATGATCTGTGATATTCTGTCGAAAACGCCGCAAGGCGGAGACTCGGCACGAACCTTTGCTTCGTGGCCTGTCGGACATGTTCCTGGCAAACCCTGCCGAGTTCCAACCTCAGGAGAAGCAGAGCATAAAGCAGGATAACGTAGGCATATGCACGAGCCCTGTTTTGGCATTCTCGCTCACATTAGCCGTCATGTTCCTGGACAGGAGGTGGCAAGCCTGTTGTGGGCCTACGCACGGCTTGATGCAGCGGAAGAGCACGAGGCCGGGATTGGGACATGCCGTACTTCGGGACATGGTGATGTGCCCAGACAGTCTCTTTCACTCGCTCTGTCCTTCCTTCTATCGGCTGCCTTCTATCGCAAGGCCTTACTTGCCGCCTTTGCTGACGTTTGTTTGCGGAACGTCTCCTGCTTCAATGGGCCGGGCCTGGCCCGCGTAGCCTGGGCTTTTGCTACGCTGGGCCGGACGGAGAGTCTCTCGGCTCCTAGGAGGCACCCCCGGCCTGGTCCAAGGCCGTCGCAGCTGAGGCGTTCTCTTTGCAGCTTTGGCCGAGAATGCGCTTCCATGGCTGCCCACGCTTGATGGGCCGACTCTCGCGAAGCTGGCATGGGCCTTTGCGAAAGCGGCGCCTCGGAGGGAACAGGGAGGTTGGAGATTGTAGCATCTGATGCCGGTCCGGTGAATTAGCTTCGTGTGAGGACCTGGAGGAGCAGACTGGTTTCATGCTGACGCTTGCCAATCAGGCCAACGCCTCAGCTATGTTGCCCTGGTCGTGCTGAATGCAGTCTTAGAATCCCTGCGCTGCCTGCACGAACCTGCTGCATCCATGTCAGGTAGAGCAGAATGTGCTCAGCCTGAACGCTCGTGACGTAGCGATGTTGGCCTGGGCATTGGCCAAGGTGGGGTGTAAGAAGCAAGCGTTGGAGAAGGCCGAAATGCGCATCGGTAGGCACCTTGTAGTAGGGCGGCGCTTTTAGGGCTCGTCTGCTAATGATTAGATCAGCTTTGCGTTTATTGGTCCCACTGCCCTGGGAGTGGGCACTGGGGAGCGTAGAGCTGAGTGTTTCGGGATGTTTCGGGGGGGGGGGGGTCGTTTTCCGTTTTCGGCTTGAGCGATTGATTGGACACGACGATGTTGCAAATAATCTGAAGTCGAGCTGAATTCCTCCACGAGCGGCCGCCGCAGCTTCCACGAAGCTGCGAGCGAGATTTTATCATTTGTACAACGAAGCTGCTAGGGTGTAGCAGAGGAAGGAGGAAGCAGCCAGCAGGGCTGGCAACCGCGGAAAGGCAGGACAAGGTAGGACCGTAGGACAGACATTAACTGTCAAGCTCTGCTCAAGAGGTGGATGCAGCACCCCCGCAGCTTATGCTGAAGTGCCTCGGCTCCATATCGGCGGGCACTCTTACAGCGTTGGATCTCGGCAGATGCACTTGTGAGCATGGTCTGAAGAGTACTGCGAATGACTGCTGGACTTAGGCTGGCCCAGCGTGCAGCAACTTTTCTGCACATAGAAAATGATGCAGAGCCACTGTGGCGGCTGTGTCTGGATCCCAGGTTCCTCTGGTGCCTTATTTGTCGCCTCAGGGTCTTGCCACTTCCGCCGCCGCTTTCACCGCGGTTTCGGTGTGTCCAGAGCGTTTGCGCCGAGCACTTGTGCAGGGCGCCTGGGCAGCTTGGCTAATTTGGCTAGAAAAAGCATGTTTCAAGGAAGGGCACAGTGAGGTTCCAAGGTCCATGAGTGAAGAGAGAAGCTGTCGGCGTACACTGGATGACTTTTGGTCAGGCTCTGAGACAGTTGAGGAGCATCTCTCATCCTTCTCTGCGCAAGAGCTCGTAGATCTGCAGTGGGCAATGGCTTCCCAGCCTCTGTGTGAGAGGGCCCTGGAGGTGCCTTGGAAGCCTTGGCCGGGAGACGACACATGCGCTTTTTCAGTGGGACTCTTGGAGAGGATGCTATCTCGCGAGCACCTGGCTGGTCCCTACGCCCCCCTTATGCGGCTTGGACCGACTTCAATCAGGCACTCCATCGGCTATGATTCCTTTGCACAGCCTCCAGTCAGGAGCATTTCGTTCAAGCCGGCAGTTTACCAGACTGCTTTAAGCATGTGGTCCTGGTGCTGCTCTTGCAAGATATGCTGAGCACCGAGGCGGGCACGCAACAAATAGCCTCTCATATTTGTTAGAATATTGTGTTCGATTGGCACGATCATCTGATCTGTCCTTGATTCGAAGCATTTTGAACCACCTGTGCAGTCTCCCATCGTTTATGTGGACACTCATGCTGGTGCCGGCATGTACGAGCTGGACATGCAGAAGGCCTGGGCTACGTAGAAGAGGAGAGCAGCCAGAAGTGAGGTCAGACAGGCTTGGTTCCGTCTGAAAATGCATCTTCCCTGAGGGAACACACGGCTACGTGCGCAGTGACGAGGGTGTTGGTCGCCTTGTGGAATCTGCAAGTGCATGGACGAAGCCGAAGCTGGCCTGGACATGCCTGGACCAAATTGCTACTCAGCTACTCTTACTTGACTGTGCAGAAGCATGTGATCTCAGGATGCCTGCACCAATACGGACCTATCTTGACATGGTGGAATCCTGCCAAAGTGCAAGACTCACTCCGGAGTCAGGCGCGGCCGGCTTTGCTGCTCGCTCATGCCCGTGTCAGTGAGAGTATTGTTCATGACTGAAGCTGCAGGTTTGCAGGTTTGCAGACTCGGTTGCGGCTAGTCCCCATTGAGAATCCCTACCCCGAGGCCTCTACCCGGGCTCGCCGGTCCTGGCCGCGAAGATGTTGTCGGCGGGCCCCGTGGGCTCCAGAGCTGTTCTCATCGAGGCGGCCGAGTCTGTGTATGCTGCACTCTGCTCTCTGGCTGCACTTCGAGCGAGTTCTTGCAACCCTGACCTGATGACCTGATGACGAGCCCTCCTTGGCCAAGGTAGAAGCATGGCCGCCTTCACCCATTTGCATGTGGAGAGTCTGCACGAAGATGCCTACAGGAGCGTCCCCGTCCCGCTCGGATCGGCATTCGACGACAGCTCACGACTCACGCCCTGCTCTGCAGGGGTCTTCCGAAGATTCTTGAGAGTACGCCAGAGCCGGAAAGGCAGAGAGCCCAGGGCACGGCAGGCCTTGTGGTGACTGGTGTGCCACCCAGCTGACAGGGCCTTGGTTCTCATCGATCCTCCCTACGACTTGTGTTTCACCGACAATTTTAACTTCCGATTGCCAGCTGCCCGGTGGGATCTTGCAATATTCTCCATGAGCCCCAGCCGTTTCTCTGCTTCAAGGCTGCGACAACTTCAGGAACATTGGCCAGCAGCATCTGTTGTGGTATGGCATCCTGACTGCATTGTAGATAGAGAGAGAGAGAGAGAGGAAAACCAAGAAGCCGTCTGCACTGGGAACTTCAGCAGTGGCAGTTTTTCGATTGGCATGTCTCTGTAGTCGAGCTAAGCAGACTGCGAAGCTTTTCGTCCCAAGAGCGACTCAAGCACAAGCGGGCAATAATGCAAGAATGAACGGACGCAGACAGCAGGAGTGTTCAGAAGAACGCCCGAGCGGGCATCCACATCGTAGCAAAGGTCAGTTCTGGCCATGGGTGTGCTCGCCTATTCTCGCAATAACGGGTGTTACGTTGCGAGAAATCAAACTGCGTGTGTTTGCTGGCCCAAAGAAGATGCACTGTCCGCTGAGCGGATTTCGCTTGCAGATCTGTACGCCGCACTGAAGTGTGTTGCTACTACCAGTTCGTTGCGGAGCATATTTCCAGCTGTTGGTTGTGTGACTGCATGTGCGGCTGCTTGAACTTCCAAATCTTAGCCGATCATGTCCATGCTTGTGGTGGAGTCCCAGAGTTTGATCAGTGCGATCTCACTTTCGCACAGGTATCCACTGCGTGACAAGACGAGAGCTCAGAGGGTCTATCGAAGGCGCCACCAGAAGTCGATAAGAGGAACAGCATTTCGCCATGGTAGTTTTGCTCCTTGCATCGCAGGGTGAAATCTATTTCGCTTGGGCCGGTCTTGGCATGCTGGCATCTGAGCTCACACATCCCTGAGTCTTGGCGATCTGATTCAGACTGCTGCTGCATCGTGGAGTCTGGAGGTGAGATGGAAATCTTCCGGACTGCTTGCCCTGGAAGTGCCATTAGGACCCTCTTGCTGTCCGCAGTTTGGTTTTGGTTTTAACCAGTGCGCTCACGAGTTGACCTGGCAGTCAGGACAGGTGTTCTCATCCTGCGGCCTGCTGCGGGAATTCAGGGGCAGTTTGAGAGCGTGGCTGGACTGAAGTCCATCATCGGGGCTTTTGGCCAGAGTGCCGAGCCTTTCATGAGAGGTCCTGCCAGCGCTTGCGGACATGATGTCTCCTTCATCAGAGGCTCGGGCCCTCCGTTTGATTGCCTGAAGATGAAACAGCTCACGGTGCTGTTAACTTGAGCCTTTCAGTTTCCATGTCATTCGGTCAGGTCGCCAGAAGCTGTGATGTTTTTTGGATCTGAAGCGGCGCAAAAAAAGCCAGCTACTGCCTCTGAAAGGGCAAGACTTTCGGATATACATTCGCCTGCCGGCGTTAGCGTATGGGTTCTGGCACCTCTTTGCTCCACTGTATGCTATAAATTCGCCGGATTCTGCACCAGTCATTTGTCATTGCAAGGTCAGCAGCTGCTGGGATTCTCGTAATTTTTGTGCTCCAGTGATGCAGTACACAACCTGCCCCAGACCAGAAGCAAGAAGGCAGGTGACCACATTGGGACTAACTGCACTATAGTATGTTGCTTGTACTTGCACTTGGCATGAAGTCGTTGGTGCCTTTTACCCCGGTAGCCACCAGCTGTAGCACCATGCCGTTTGCAATCGCGTGTGTTGCGGCTCGGCAGCAGAGAGGGCTTTTGAAGGGTCTTATGGGCAGTGACGATCGCGAGAGTCGCGAGGTACTGCTTACCAGCCAAGCTGTGGCGCTGACAGAGACACAGCCTCCGATGGCGCGGCCGACAAGTGGGCAGCTGGACCACTTCAGCCCGCAACCCGGTGCACCCACATCGGAAAAGACGCAGGTATACGCAGGTGCGCGACATCTTGCGGCGCCGAGGCTACTCCATGTACTTGGATGACAAGACCGAGGAGGGGCCGCCCGAAGTTTGTTGTGCTCCAGCAGACTTTGGCGTGAGGACCCGCGCCGCCTGCACCTGCCACATCTTCGACTTCGAGCTCCCCCCGCCGGGGCGCTAAGGAAGGCCGCCCAGGCTGGGCCCCACCCAGCAATCTTGCTACGGCTTCAGAGCTGTGCCGGCTCAGCCTTTTCTATTTCGGGACCGAATTCCCGGTCCGAGCATGAGCGCGGTTTCGGGTTTAGGGTTTGTGCTTCAGGGTGAAATGGCACACAGCGGACCCGAAATTTTCACCCGCCGAAACTTGCCTGCATAGACATGTAGGAAGCAAGGAGTTGGCCTCAAGGGACCTTCAAACAGGGCTGCTGGGCTCGCAGCACAGGGGAACAGGTCCGCAGGTCTGGCTGCCACCTGTAGCTTTCTCGAAGGCTGCGCCGGTGATCGCTGCAGCCCTCACGGAGATCCCGGCAGTCCGGGAGCAGCGCCGGGCCCGGCGTTTTTGTCCTCCGCAACCAGCGGCGTCTGTGCGAGCCGCGAGCGAGGCTCTCCGAGTGGCTCGGCCGCGATGTGCCGGCGGTCAGCGGCGTCGCCAAAGAGCTCCTGGACCTCGCCCAGAGCGAGGTGCCCTCACACACTCTCTCTCTCTCTCTCTTTCTCTCTCTCTCTCTCTCTCGTCCCTGGTCCCTTGCCGTGCTCGACCTTTCCCTTTCCCTCTCCCTCTCCCTACGCCCTTTGCTATGTCAATTTTCTCTCGCTTGTTCCAGGTGCGACGTTTGGGAGACAACTTGGTGGAGACTGCAAGGCAGACTTCCCAAGCCGCACAGAGGACTGTGGCACCCATGCCGTAAGGCCGTCTTGATTCTTCGGCATCTCTCCAGTAGCCCAGTCGTTGTGTTGGGAGGAAAGCCAAGGGCGCCGTGAAAGAGGCTGGCGACGTGGTCAAAGAGACTGTGAAGGAGCTGGATGAGACAGTGCCACAGCCTCAGCATGACACTTTGGCATGTCGTAGATGTTGGAAGATTAGCCATGGTATCAGCATTTTGGCAGCTTCAGCTGTAATTCACTCTTGACGTAGAGCTTCTTCTTCAGCTATGTAGATTTTCAACCTTGCTGTGTTGACCTGTTCGAACAAAAACACTTCCAGAGATACGTTTGTACGAGCCTCTTAAGGTTCAGTTTAGGCTGTTGTGGTGTAGCACACCGCGTGCGAGCAGGAACAAGTCTAGAAAGAGAAAGGATTCTTGTGTTTGGTCTGCACGGGTGAGTGCCCCATGGACCATGCTGGACCTGCACCGACCCCCAAGCCCTGCAATTCCAGGATCCTGGCCGAGCACAAGGCAGAGGAGCTGATCCACCACAAGCCGCCGCCTCCCCGGCGCTTCCGGCCGTGGCTGGTGGGCACGCTGGGTTTCGCGGCCGCTGAGCTGCAAGTCGCGATGGGACGAGTCTCCGCCATGTGCAGTGCCAGCCATCTCCGAGGCCGTGCTCGGCGTCGTCGCGACGCGGCGCTGGGCGGCCCGGCACCGCGGTCCCTCCATGGCCGGCACGCGCCGCTCGCGCCGGAACACTCCGACGGTTGGGCATCCGAATTGACGAGAGACTACCGAAAGTTCTTGTTTTTGTGTGCAGATTCCGCCGATAATCCCAAGCCGGGAGGGCGTGCTACAGAGGCCAGATATTTCACCGTCCTTGGCCTTGGATGTTTTTCGGAGCGAGTCTTCAAGAGGCACACAAACTTGCTTCAGGACGCCTTCCCAGTCTGCCCTGACGCCCGTTAAGGTTCACAAAGTGGAGTCTCCTGGCCTGATGCCGGTTTCTCAAGTCAGGCGTGGGTCCTCAAACTGCTGGGTGCCCTGAGGTTTCAACGAGTGGGGCTCAGCGACGGTGCCGAATGGGACTCGTCCGATGAACAGGATTCTGAGTCACCGCAGGTGCGCCCAAGAATCGTGCTTCCTAACGTGTACATTCTGCGCGAACTGATGAATGGAGCATGTCTGGTCGCGGTGTCAGGACAGGCAGGTCAGCTTCGGCAAAATGAATCCAAATACAGAATATTTCCAGATCGGGGGTCAACAGGCGGGACGATTTTGTGAGGAAAACGCAAGTCGTCCCACTCGTTGAAGCAGCAGGTTGTTGCATTCTGAAGGATTCGCCCGGTCCGTCCCCACGTCCCGGAAACGACCGGGCCTTGGGAGCGTGAGCCGCCTGGCCGCAGAAGAGCTCTCACCAAGAGGCAGATCTTTGTTGAAAATGCAGATTTGAGAATTTAAGGTTATTTCAGGTCAGTGTGATCGCGTGGACAGAGCCAACGAGCCTGTGTGGCGCACCATTCAGGTTCGTCGCGATTTCTTCCCGAAGGGAACCCCAGGCAGTCCTGTACCTTCGGTTGCAACCGGAAGCAAAGCGACCAAAGAACGCGTCTACAGCACCGGTCAGACTTTCAAGGCAACCGTCAGGTAGATGTACAAAGAGCACAAAGTGGCCTTTTGAATGCGCAGACGGCACAGATGCAAGTCCAGTAGAAAGTTCGATCAGTACCATCCTATTGATGCCTAGCATGCAAAGGTGCTCGCAGATGGTCTGCACTTACATGTATCTGCTTCGGGTTGACGCACGGAAGACGCGGACTATGAGTAACGCTTCCCAATCGAAGCACATCAAAGCTTCGGATTAGGTCATCGCGAAGTGCGTTGTAAAAGCTCATACCAGTCCTAGACCCAGTTCCAGAAGCTCGTTCGGGCCGAGGGGCCGGTGAACGAAAGGGTGCAGTTTCATGAAAGAGGTGCGGGATCCGAATGACGGAGGTCTGCACAACTGAGATAACTTGTGTGGCAGCAGTAGCATCAAAGTGAAGCACGCTTAGGGCTCGTCATGGCTCGTCTGTTCTGCTCAAGCCAGATGATATGGCTGAGATGTACCCTACAGGACCAAAAACCCAAACCACAAGTATCATTAGTATCTTGTTCTGCATCCGAGCGAAGCAGTCAATGTTGCTGACAAGCCGACCGGATCTCGAACGTCCTCAACGGATGGCCGGCGAGTATGGATGGTTCGGCATCCAACTTGCTGCGTTCTGAGATTCTGAGGGCTGCTCTTGCAAGATCGCAAGATGCTCGCCGTAGCGGTGGAAGGGAAGGTCATGAGCAATGCCTGGGTGCAGACGCGACAACAGCTGTCCGGCAAGCATCAATATCCTAAGCGGCACTAATCAAGAGCCTCTGCGACTCTGCTCGTCTCTGAGGCCCGTTGGGCCCTTGGAACATGAAAAGATCGTCCTCGAGGTTGGGCCCCGGCATTTTGAAGCAAGTCGGAAGCAGGTCCGTCGGGTTTGGGCTTAGGTTGCGGAGCTGCTTCGCAGCGCTTGCAGCACCGACGGATCCGCCTCAGCTTTGGAGGCCGCCAGATGATCCGAAAATCGAAATTCGTCGGTCCGCTGAGCGATTCGAATGGAGGTATCCTTGCGGCGGCCGAGTGGAGCCAGCGAGGTGCAACCTGTGCTGACTTGCATCCTCAACGGAAACGGAACTTGGCTGTGGAGAGGCTTCACGGATATTTCCACTGACTTGCCCACTTCCGTCTTCGCCTTCCGGGGAAGAAAGTCATCATGTGCTGCGCCTCAACGTACTTTGTCCAAGCCGTTCAAAAGCTTTGCGCGGCATTCGCAGGTTGTGCAATGTCCTGCAATGCCCTGTAATGTTCTGGGTTCTCTGCAGACTTGGACGCTTCCCGAGGTTGGTTTCAGTCTGCTGGCGTGGATAGCCAGCTCGTGCGACCGGCATGTGGGAATTTGAAGCTCCTGTTACTCTTCCTACCTGCGGAATCCTACCCGCTGCAGAAAACTCCGCTCTTATTCGTCAGCCGCCAGGTTTCTCCTGCTGTGGTGCTTCAATTTCTTGGAGGCTGGAAGCAGCCTCTGTGCAGCCTTGAACTTGGCCGCGCCCCTTTCACTCAAAGGTGAAGGCCGTCCTGAAGCGCCGCAATCCACTACTTTGGCTCAGAAGCCGGAAGCTCGCAGAAGCTCTTGAAGCTCGTTCAAATGCTGCAAAGAGGGGTCTAGGGCTTGGGCTTGCGCGTCGCATGCACGGCTCAGCGAGGCTTGGGGGCCCTGGCAGCCGGTCTTCTGGTGATCACCGACTCAGGGCACGCTTAGGGGCTCGGTGGGGGGGGGGCCGCCGAAGTCGAGCCCTGGTGGAGGCTCTGTCGGAGGCCCACGACTTGGACAAACCAGGCGAAGTCTTGGGCGCAGACTCCGACTCTTGTTCGGAGAAAGCGCGCACGCTTTCTCAAGGCCTTCCAGGCAACCTTGGGGCTTCACGGCGCCGCGGTGGCCGAGGCCGTGGCCGGTGTGGCCACGAGGCCCAGGCCCAAGAGCAGAGACTTGATGGAGAAAAGGGGATTCTGCGAGTTCGAGCCAGGCCGAAGGCCTCCAAGTTCGCTTGCCTTGTGACCTCCTCGGAGTTTAGGAGTAACGCCGCGCGTGGGCCCCCTGCAAGCGTGATGCGAGGCGTTGGAACACGCCGCAGCCGCAACCAGCCTGGTGTTGGCACTGTGGGGGTACTGTTCTGATTCCACAGGTGGGCAGCACCGCCAAAGCATCATCGAAAGCTTGTGTGGGCGGCTCAAGATGATGTGCAGGTCTTCTGCTGGGATTGCTTCCCGAAGTGTCATCGGCATGGAACCCGGTTTGCAACAGACGGTGTGTGAAAGACGAGCTACAGTATGTGGTACCCATACCATGTCATGAATGTACAGAGCTCCAGAAGGGAACTATAGTGTGCGAAAGGGCTTTGCTTCAACTGGGCTCCAGGCCCTCTGGAGTTCCAGGCGCGATGCTTGGCTCAGCGGTGCTGCGGGCAGGTCCCTTCCAGCCTCGTCTCCTTCTTGGGCTGTCGCAGGCCCGGTCCGATGCAAAAAGAGGGTGATAAACGGCAGAGACTTGATTTGTTGCAGAGGCGAACAGTACTAGAGCCAGCTTTGGCTCTCGCAGCGTCCTCGCTGGCGTTCGAACTCAGATCGGCGCCTTTTTTGGCTTTCAGTGTCGACCCGAGGCTCTTCTTGCTCGGGTGGTGCCTGTTTTCCTTCCCATGGAGGCCAGAATCTGCCACGCGCATGTATTGTCGAAGGCGCTGGTGTTGCTCAATGGTGCCAGGCGACCTCCGTGCGAGTGCTCGCGGTGCTTTCCTGCGTAGCTTGGCTGTTGAGGTACCAGAGCTTGCATGACAGCTTTTAGGACTGCTGACGCGGGTGCGTGCAGTGGCTGTGGCGGGCTGCTGTGCTTTTCTGAAGGCTCCCGAGCTTCGCCGAGGCAAAGCCGGATCGAAGCTTAGGGAAGGGCCCCACAGAACGGCTTGGTCCCTTGGTGTTTTCAAGCATGAGCAAAGCAAAAACCAAGGAGCAGGCACATGCTGGTGCCGAGCTAGAACTGGGACTTCTGCGAGGCCGACAGTGGACAGTGGACAGTCTCGGCTGTATCCGGCGCAGTGTCGACTCAGGTGAACGTCGCGCAGTCGAAACTGCGCAGGTTGGGCACTGTCGGGCATGCTGGCATGAGGGGCATGAGAGCGTCTCGCTAGGAGCCATGTCGATTGATGATCCATGATGACCCCTCCTCAGTTCCTGAGCCGGTCACTGGAAGTCTGGGCTTAGTCGGTATGCTTTCGTCGGACAAGCATTTCTTGAGGTCATCTACGATGTGACGGATTTTCTGCAGGATGACAGCTGTGCATGAGTTGCTTGGTGCTGCCAGCTGAAGTGGGAAGGTAGTGCCTTTTGCCACCCCTTGATTCCAGTTGCGTTGATGTTATTTCGCAACCGTCATGCTCCAGTGATTGCAGCGCCGAAGCCTCTAAGGGCAGGCAGAGTGTACCGCTCAGCTTCTACCCTCAGCATCGCACTTGCTCGCGCCATAGCGCCCAGCACCAGCGCAGCACCATGCCGTTTGCAATCGCGTGTGTTGCGGCTCGGCAGCAGAGAGGGCTTTTGAAGGGTCGCATGGGCAGTGGCGATCGCGAGAGTCGCGAGGTACTGCTTACCAGCCAAGCTGTGGCGCTGACAGAGACACAGCCTCCGATGGCGCGGCCGACAAGTGGGCAGCTGGACCACTTCAGCCCGCAACCCGGTGCACCCACATCGGAAAAGACGCAGGTGCGGTCGCGAGATTGCGGCGCCGAGGCTACTCCATGTACTTGGATGACAAGACCGAGGAGGGGCCGCGCCCGAAGTTTGTTGTGCTCCAGCAGACTTTGGCGTGAGGACCCGCGCCGCCTGCACCTGCCACATCTTCGACTTCGAGCTCCCCCCGCCGGGGCGCTAAGGAAGGCCGCCCAGGCTGGGCCCCACCCAGCAATCTTGCTACGGCTTCAGAGCTGTGCCGGCTCAGCCTTTACTATTTCGGGACCGAATTCCCGGTCCGAGCATGAGCGCGGTTTCGGGTTTAGGGTTTGTGCTTCAGGGTGAAATGGCACACAGCGGACCCGAAATTTTCACCCGCCGAAACTTGCCTGCATAGACATGTAGGAAGCAAGGAGTTGGCCTCAAGGGACCTTCAAACATGGCTGCTGGGCTCGCAGCACAGGGGAACAGGTCCGCAGGTCTGGCTGCCACCTGTAGCTTTCTCGAAGGCTGCGCCGGTGATCGCTGCAGCCCTCACGGAGATCCCGGCAGTCCGGGAGCAGCGCGGGGCCCGGCGTTTTTGTCCTCCGCAACCAGCGGCGTCTGTTTGAGCCGCGAGCGAGGCTCTCCGAGTGGCTCGGCCGCGATGTGCCGGCGGTCAGCGGCGTCGCCAAAGAGCTCCTGGACCTCGCCCAGAGCGAGGTGCCCTCCCGCTATCTCTCTCTCTCTCTCTCTTTCTGTCTCTCTCTCTCTCTCTCTGTCATCTTCACAGATGCTCAGAGTCTTTCTTTTTGCTTTTTCACAATCTGACTCTTCCCAGTTCTTTTCCCTCCTTGCCTTGCTCTCGCTGCAGGCACAACGTCTCGGTGACAACGTGGCGGAGACTGCACGACAGACTCTGCAGGCAGCAGAGAGGACCGTCGGTGTCACCAGCGACTGAGTACTGCATGTTGCTCAGTGTATAGACTCAGTGTAGACGAGGCCTTGTTGCGCGAGGAAAGCCAAGGGCGCCGTGAAAGAGGCCAGCAATGTGGTCAAGGAAACCGTGAAGGAGCTGGATGAGACAGTGCCACAGCCTCAGCTGTACAGATTTGACTTTGTGTAGCCCCCGCGGCGCGTCGTAGGTGTCAAGGTGGACGAGGTTCCAACAGAGAGCGTACGTACAGTCCAGTTTGGGACTGGAATGTAGCGAAGCCGTGAACAAATTGCATTGCAGAATTTGACTGATCGTTCCGTTTGGTGTGCACCGGGGCATGTGATGGACCTGCGCCGACCCCCCAAGCCCTGCAATTCCAGGATCCTGGCCGAGCACAAGGCAGAGGAGCTGATCCACCACAAGCCGCCGCCTCCCCGGCGCTTCCGGCCGTGGCTGGTGGGCACGCTGGGTTTCGCGGCCGCTGAGCTGCAAGTCGCGATGGCATGGACCAGTCTCCGCCATGTGCGTGCAGTGCCATCTCCGAGGCCGTGCTCGGCGTCGTCGCGACGCGGCGCTGGGCGGCCCGGCACCGCGGTCCCTCCATGGCCGGCACGCGCCGCTCGCGCCGGAACACTCCGACGGTTGGGCGCTCGAAGGGGTTGGACAGGGAGGGAGTCGTGGAATAACTACATACCCCAGGAGCTGTCAAGTCATACCTCAAGAACTTGTCGATGCCTGCCAATAAGTGTATTGGCTCACTGTACATGCATCAACTTGTCAAGTTCTTATTGCCGCGCCGACTGTATGTCGTGATCTTCCTCCGGTTTTAGCGCTTCTCACCGCTCACCGATTCCATTTGGATCCTGTCGCAAAACGAGCATACCGCAGCAAGCGGATGACAAAACCCAGGTCCAAGGCCCAAGTTGTAGAGCCTGATCACACACTGATCATATCAAGTCCATCCAGATCTTTTCTATTTCTCCCCTGCATTTGAATCCGAACTGAATCCTCCACTGGGAATCTCTTGTTGGGTTGTGTAGGGTTGGGGAGATGTGTGAAGGACAGACAACTGTAAACCATTGCCTCATTGACAAGCTTGGCAGCCCTGTGATGTGCGTGTGTGCGTGCGTGCGTGCGTGCCTGTTGTGGGATGATGCAGATTCCAGCGGTGGTCCCGGCTACCCGGGAGAGTGTCCTGCAGAGGCCAGGGCCAGAGGACCTCCAGAAGGAGCTGAGAGATGCATTTGTTGTGCCCATCGCAGGACACCTTCCCAGTCATCGCTGACACCCATCAAGGTTCACAAGGTGGAGCATCTTGGCTGAAAGATGTCGTGATCGTGTCCTCAGCACATGACTGGACTTTGGTCACCAAGGTTTCAACGAGTGGGGGTACAAGACGGTGCTGAGTGGGACTCGCCAGATGAACAGGACGCCGAGTCACCACAGGTGCGACGGGCCTTCGGAAGCTTTTGGGCGGTTGCTTCAAGCTCAGCTGGGTGCGGCAGGTTTCCGAATGGGAACCGGACATGGGCAAGTTGAACCCAAAGACGGAGTACTACCAGATCAACAGTCAGCAGGACCCCCTTCACGTGCAAGCAAGAGGCCACGCTCTTCTGCCGTCTCACAGGACTCTCCACGAGATGATCACCGAAACGAACGCATTTTGGGAGCCTGAGACGCAGCCTCAGCTGGAGTGAGTGACAGGGGAGGGCGAGAGGGAGAGGGACTGTGAAGGAGCAAAGTGCCATGCGAAGTCTCTCTCTTTCTCTCGCTCGCTCTCTCTCTCTCTCTCTCTCGTCCCTCACTGTGAAAACTTGCTACATTGCAGTCTTTGTATGTGAGAGTGCACAGAAGGTTGGATGGATGGGAAGGGTCTCTGTGCATTTATAATGACTCCTGCATCACCGTAGCCATAGTGGCTTGAGATGCAGGCTGATTCTCGTTGCTCTTTCTTTCTCTGCCGCCATGGACCTGCCCCTTTCTTTTCATTCTGTCTTGGGCAGTGAAGGTCTGGAGCGGCTAAGAGAATTGGGAGTCGAGAGTACATCAGACCTGGCGAATATTTTTTCTTCAGAACGCGACATTTTTGAGCTGTCCTCAGATGCTGCTGTGGTGCGAGCGGTTACACATGCATGGCATATGGCAAAAGTATCTGAGAATATCCGTCTGGAGAATATACCGATTTCTTGCTTTCGGATGTCAGAGCAAACAGCTGGTGTACATGGTGTGCAGGCAGCAGCGGGTTTGCGGCCCAAGATGCGATGTAAACCGCCAGCCCAATTATTGCCTAAGCCTTTCAGGGCAGGATACGCAGCTCCACCCTTGCGCGGATTGCCGCCTGTGCCTGACAAACGCTTGGCTACACTACAAACCATTCTGGAGATTGTCCTGGCGTCTGGCTCGGAGAATACGCAGTTTGGTCCGGAGCTGCGAACAAACGTCACGGAAGCCTTTGAGCTTTTCGTAGCTCGCTTCAGAGGCGTGCCTGATGCCAAGCTGCGTGCACATGTGGGAGCCATGAAAAGATGGGTTAGATGGCATAGTTTGCATGTCCCATCTGATGTGGTTTATTGGAAACCGACGGCCTTCTGGATTGCGCGCTACCTTGCAGATGCCAGTCGCGGGGGTCCCACAGCTTCCTGTCATGTCTTTGCGTCGCTTAAATGGTGGTTCCAGGTTGGAGGCCTGCCGTTGCCGATGACTGACGGTCTTGTCGTTGTGTGGGCTAGTCCATCTACGGACCATGTTGTGCAGCCGAGAACGCCACTTTCGCTAGGAATCTTTTGGGCTATGCTACGAGCATACAAATCTGCCTCAGGTGCAGTACTCTCCTTCTTGACCTGGACCTTGGTGCTGCTAGTAGCCTGTTTGCGCTTCGAACATTCCAAGAGATCGCACTCGCTCAGGCTGCAAGATGGCTTCATTCGAGCCACCTGCGCACAAGGAAAGCGCCGAGTCCAAGGCAGGAGGCCACCGTTTGATTGGGCCATTCCGGCCCGCATTACGCAAACAATTGATTTGTCGCAGCAGCTTTTCTTGGACGCGAGCGAATTGCAAACACACCTGGGCAAGCCTCCTACGTTCGTTGTGCAAGACCTTAGCATCCAGAGAGGTCAGCCTTTGTCTTCAGGAGCGCAGCTGATCGCCAGACCTATGTCCTTGCCAAAGTTTAATTGCTTGCTTAGGTCGGTTGCTAAGGGTCTAGGTGCTAATGACGAGGAGGCGGCTAAGATTTCATCTTATAGCCTCAGGCGCTTTATGCCGACAGCGGCGGATGTCATGCAATTCCAGCCGCACGAGTGTCAGGCCATAGGTAACTGGGTTGAGTTGCCGCAGACCGAGAACTCAGGAGGCGGCCGGCCTGCTGTTGTGGGAATGGCTAAGCATTATGCGCATGACAAGACTAGCACGGCAGCCTTTGTGAAGCAGCAGGTGATAACATCTTTGCACCAGGCTTTGTTAAAATCGGGTCAGCCGGCCCAATGCTCATGGCACGATGTTCGGTTACATGTCCCACCTCGTGAAGCAATCCTTCAAATCCTGCAGCCAATGCAGGAGGACCGAGGTTGTGCAGTGGCCCGCCGGAGTGCCGAAGTGGGGCTGAGCTCGGACTCAGATTCTAGCGTGTCCAGTGTGTCTGATGAGGATTACGAGAAGACTGCAGCGGAACTGCCGTGGTTCCA